TTTTTTTATTCTGGGCCAGCTTTAGCTCTGAGGCCTCGCTGCTGAAAACATCGATACAATGTTGCGGTCCGGCTGGCTTTCAGTCCGGCTGGTTTCTGGGGTTTTGTTTAGCTTCTTATTTGCAACATAGTACATAGTTGCTTAGAGTTGCAGCTGAGAGGCCGGCAAGTTAGGCGGGGAACGTTGGAGTCCGCAGTCACTGGAGCAAGCAAGCCTCATGTTCGCTTCCAGCTGCCTGGCTGCCGGCCGCCATCTTGGCTGACAGTTAATTTGCATAAGGATATGCTGATTAGCCAATGGGAAGGGTAGCGGTCGTACGCTAATTACCCTGTTTCTCTTTTATTAGTGTAGAAGTGTTGATATATAAGTGTAAATATAAAAGTTTAAGTGTATGTATTTCCCTTTTTTTTGTACTGTTAGTATATTGCACACTATTCTGAACCTTTTGTTTGTTTTAACTTAATGACAAATCAGAACCATAACTACTGCTTTTAGATATTCATGAAATAAAGCTTTGTATTCTGTTCTGCCAAATCAAAAGATTCTGAGATAATGTTGAGTCCTCACTCTCGCCCCAATCTAATAACTGTTTCATACTAGCATAGTGTCCTTATATGGCTATACCATAATCTATTGAACTAACTGCTCTATTAGTGGACATTTTAGGTAGATCCTGTCTTTTATTCCATTAAGTATTGTACTAAATAATTTGGTATAACCATAATTTCATCGGGTACAAATATATTGTTGGGATAAATTACTAGAAGTGAAATTGCTGGATTAAAGAGTGCATACGTTTGTCTCCCGTATGCACTCACCATATTATGTTTGTAATATTGAGCGATAGCACTCTCCATAGGGTTTTACTATTTTGTACCTCCAGGAGCAATGGTTGAGAGTTCCTGCAGTCCTACATCCTTTTCAAAACATTGTTATCAAACTTTCATATTTAGCTATTTCAGTATGTGAAAAAAGGGATGTTTTTAAATGTAGTTTTAATTTTTCTCTTATTATGAGTGAGATTTAATTTATTTACATTTAAGAAAAAAGTGTTATTTCCTCTTGGGAGAGTTGTCAGTTAATGTCCTTTGCCCACTTTTCTATGATATTGTTAGCCTTTTTTTTTTTTTTTAACAATTTGTGGGAGAAATTTACCCTTTGAAATTATGTTTCCCAGTTTCAGTTCTCTTAATTATGCTTGATATTTTTTGACATGCAGAATTTGTTTTTAGTGTGATTGCATTTATTGTTTCTTCTTTTGTAACTTTACAATTTTGAATCAATTAGAAAAGCTTTTCCGAGTTTATATGCATACATAGTGTGTTACAGGTATAATTTTTTCCCCAGATAACTGTCTGGTAGTCTCCATGTATTTATTAAACAGTTTTCCTGATTATTATATACTAAATTATATATACTTATATAGCATACTAATATACTATATTATCACATACATTTTGTTCTGTTTCTGAACTTTTTTCCTGTCTTTTTTTTTCTTTTTAAGCCTCATCCAAGGATATGTTTATTGATTTTAGAAAAAGAGAGGAAAGGAAAAAGTGAGAGAGAGAAAGAGAGAAAGAGAGAGGAAAGAAAGAAGGAAACAAACAAACAAATATACATTCATCAGTTGTCTCTTGTATGCACTGACGGGGAATCAAACCCGAAACCTTTTGGTGTATGGGACGAAGCTCCAACCAACTGAGCCTCTCCTTTTAGTTTGTCTATCTCATTATTGAGGGTTTAGACTATATTTCATTGTCTGATAGAGTTAGTCCCTTCATTGCTTTTTATTTCTCCCGTCTGAGTTTTTCTGTTGTTAGTTTTCTATATGAACTTTAGAATTATGTAGTCTTAGTTCAAAAGTTTTATTCATACTACTCTCATTTTTGCAAAAGTATTTATAATCTCTCAAAAATCTTGTGCAGTATGTTATTATCACAGAGTTATTTTTCCACTGGAATTTGAAAATGGGGGTGTTTGTTCTTTTTTTGTTTTGTTTTTCTGTTTTGTTTGTTTTCTTGCCTAACCTAATGGGTCTCTAAAGGGTTTGAGAACCATTAGTTCAATGTAAACTCCTTATTGTCATATACAAGGCTTTATATTGAGGCTTTTGCCACCAGTTCTGTCAGCACTATCCCCCAATACTCTCCCAATGTTCTTTCTATTAACACCAAATTTTAATCTAGCTTACAGAATTGACTGTCTCCTGAAAACACTCTTTGTGATTTTATCGTTTTCATTCTGGCTATTCTCTTTTCCTAGAATATTTTTCCTTTCTTTCGCCTGGTAGAAAGATTCATTCACCCTTTGAGGTCCAGATCAAACTTAATCAGTTAATCAACCATAGCCCTTCTAATGTTTGCTTATTACAGCAACAATATTTTATCATACCTTTGTCCACGTTTATATTTCACTAGACTGATTATTTTATTCTCCTTTGGATCTTCCATGTCTAGGAATACATATGGGTCATACTTTACATGTAATAATGTTGGTGGAGTGACTGGATAATTGAAAGAATGAATTAAATGAATATGTTCAATCTAGAGGATTTGGCAGCTGATTTTATGAGATGCGCAGGGGAAGAGAAAGATAATATATGGAAAGGAAAAGGATAGTTCATTAAAAGAATTTAAGGAGAAGTTTTATGCTGTAGACTGATAAGAAAAATTCTTCAGCCACAAACACTAAAAATGCTTGTTAAATATAATAAATATCCTTTAAAATAACTCTAAAGTCCTTTGAGATAATGATTAACAAGATAAATTCGGGCAATTATTTTCAGAAATGAAAAGCGAATGGAAATACTTGTCTCTGGCTTCTGCTGGATTGTTCTAGGATGCATGTGAAATCTGAATTCTACCTCTTTAGTCCCTTAGCACACCTCACCTGTTTTCCTTGCTTTAAGCACGGTGGTTGAGTCAGCCTGACAGAGGCAGTAGGTGCTAAGCAGGGATATTTGTGCCCTAATAAAGACTCATTAATAAGTGGAAAATAGTGACAGGAGAGTAGATTAACCAGGTTTTACAAGACCTAGAATATCAGACTGAGAAGTTTAGAACTTTAAAGTTTTAGAACAAGAGAGTTGCCTAGATGAAAGTGATGGTTTTGAGAATATTACCCTGATAATGAAATACAGGATATATGAAGATGAAAGGAGACTGAAAGAAGAATAGTAATTCGTATACTTATATATTACAGAGTGAATTAGGATGGACGCATAGGGACTGGAAAGGAAGGATAACATGTGACAGACTTATTGAGAATAACTCAGCAGGACTTGGTAACAGGAGAAAAGATGACTCAGATTTGAGTCAGCGTGAATGGGATTTAGGAGAGGGAAAGAGGGTGAGCTAGCTTGTTGAGGAAGGAGTCAGGAGCTCAGTTTGTACTTGTTGTATATGAGAACATCTTACTGGAATATGACCAGCCATCATGTGCTATGAGATGTCTACTTAGAATAAGAAATGATTAAGCTTTGGAGGAGGGGGGTAAAGAGGGAGAAAATGGAAGATATCTGTAATACTATCAACAATAAAAAATACATTTAAAAAAGAAATGATTAAGTTTTTTACTTAGAAAAGAAAGGATTAAGGTTTTTTTGCTTATATAATAGGTTCCGAGTAACTATTGATACCATACATCTAGAATGGTATATTTGAAGCAACAAAATTGATTATTGGAGCTACATGTTTTATACAGAGAAAAGCAGTTGTTCAGAGACTAAATTTTCTATGTTCATTTGAGAGGGTGAAAAGAAAGTGGAGGGGCGGATTTAGAGGGTAAAAGGAAATTCATGTCACAGAGTCAAAGAATAACAATTTTGAGAGTAGTTACCTTAGATGCTGGGACAAAGATACACAGGTTTTCTTCTTTAGAGTAGAAGCGGGGGTTGGTAGAGGATGTGTAGATTGTTGAACATAAAGAGGGAATAATAGATGGTTAGAAAATAGAGACACTTGCTCGGCTGGTGTGGCTCAGTGGTTTAGCATCAACCCATGAACCTACAGGTCCCCAGTTGGATTCCAGGTCAGGGCATATGCCCAGTTGGTGGGCTCGGTCCCCAGTAGGGGGCATGTAGGAGGCAGCTGACCATGTTTCTCTCTCATCAATGTTTCTATCTCTCTATCTCTCTCCCTTCTGCTTTCTCTAAAATTAATAAAAAACATTAAAAAAAAGAGAAAATAGAGACACTGATACACATAGTTTATAACATTTGTCAGTGGAATGAGAAAAATAGGCAATAGAAAAAGGAGAAATTAGTGTGAAGAGAAATTTTCCTCAGGACTTGGGAAAGAGTCCTGCACATTGTTTGAAAAGAGAGGTAAGGACTGATATCAGGGGAATGATCAGAGATGAAGAAGGTAGAGGTCTTTAGGAGTTGGAAAAATAAGATCTTAAGTGGAATGGAAGGGGAAGCCTTCGAGGGACAGGAAGGTGCCTAGTTCTTCCTCTGGGACTAGAGAATGGGAGCCTTGGTGTAGAATCAGTGAGTGGACGTCAGGAAGGGTAGATGATGAGAGGAGTCTTCTGTGCCTTTGTGTGATGTGTCCAGTTATAAAGTACAAACATCTACAAAAGAAGTGAAAATTGCTTTACATCTTCAACAAAAAAATCTGCAGTGATTTTACTGTGCTGAACTTACTTTGGTAGTGTAGTAAAAAAAACCTTAAGTTGTTGAAACCTAATTGGAAAGTAATTTACTTTAATCTGTCTTTATTGGTGTAATTAATTGGGAGACTAAATTAGAACCATATTTTATTTATATTTCTCTTAATTTTTACTACAGGTTATATCTTAAGTGTTGTGCTACTAACCTTGCCCAGGCAATACCTGGTTCAGCTTTACCTATATTTTTTGACTGCCCTTCTCCTCTATGCTGGACATCAAATCTCCAGGTAAGAATGTGACCCCATTTTTGAAATGAATGACTGAATTTCAAGTTTTTCTTTACCAAAAAATTATTTTCATGAACATAGTTAAGAAGCTGAGGCTTTGGTAGGTATCCAAAACCGTTTTTTTTATACTTGTTTTCTAAATAAATATTAGCATACAGGATTAATAGCTGGGGTTATGTCTCAAATTTTATTTTTGCTTTTAAAAACAATCCTATATAATAAAAGGCTAATTTGCAAATCGACCGAATGGCAGAACGACTGGTCGCCATGACGCGCACTGACCACCGGGGGGCAGACGCTCAATGCAGGAGCTGCCCCTTGGTGGTCAGTGCACTCCCATAGGGGGAGCGCTGCTCAGCCAGAAGCTGGGCTCACGGCTGGCGAGCGCAGCAGCGGTGGCGGGAGCCTTTCCTGCCTCCGCAGCAGCGCTAAGGACCCCTCGGGGGATGTCCAACTGCCAGCTTAGGCC